TTAGGTGATATATATTACAGCTTATTTATTACCAAATATGGCTATGTATTGCTTATTACCCGTCTTTAAAAGTCTTACAATTAGTCGACAATAAACTAAGAAAAACAGCTTTCTAAATATCATATAAGGTCTCTTATCGTTGTTTGGTAGGGACGGGGCTTGTTATTGCTTATTACAGTCCAAGCGATTACTTATTGGAATAGGAATATTAACGTCTAAAACATTACTAATGATATTATGGACAGATGATTTTAAATAAGATTATAATATAAAACGATAAATACATAAACAAATTCATGTATGTTTAAAACACGATGTTAAAATACTTTGTCGTGCGAAGAGTCGGTGGGTCATCGTCTCCATTCGTTGTTAAAATGCGTCTTAGTCAAAATAAAGTTAAAACAGGGGAGTCCAGATCGCCAGTGGAGAAACGAAAAGGCAAGTGGCGAAGAAAATGAATCCACTTGTTTTATGTGGAACAGGCAAGTTATCGCAGTAAAAACCACAAAAACATATTAAGATACCTTATAATGGTGGAGATACGCTATGTACAACAATCTGTATAAATGTTGAATAACTCATCTTGTATATAGATAGTATTTATGACATCTTCATCTGTTGACAATTGTTACTATGACAACCAATTAGTCAAATAAAGTTATTAAAAAACACAAAGATGCATTATACAAGAGCCAACTCTGCCTATTGCGGGTGTTTTCTCGCTGTTGGCTATATCTTCGTCGACAGCTTTGCGCTCACTAATTTTGAGATTGTTCTTCTAAGAGCAGTGACATCGCCGAAAATTGTGCAATCCATGACACGAAAACCCGCGATCACACTGGCACTCCAGTGGTCGTTGCCATATGGTACCTCTAGCGCCAAATCCCGACTGCGCAATGGATAGGTGCTCTTACAAGAATGGTGAATTAACGCAGTACAGCCGCAATGGCGCTCAAAGTAGCTAATGGCGACCCCATCTCGGCCTGAAAGTTTCCACTCTGCAAATCGTTCTGTGAGACCTAGCTGCGCTTTGCCGCACGCTTTCATACTAGTCAGGTCGTGGTGGGGGCACCGGGGTTTTCCGTAGACTGATGTAGTAGCCCCTAAAATATATATGATAGCGTTGTCAGGAAAGGACTTTTCATCCCTCCATCTGATTTGTGGAGGGGGGGGGGGCTTTCGGGTTTTAAAGACCAGGGGCAAAAACTACGAATACAGTTGCTTGGCGGGGCTCAATTTCAACGCGACCACGCAAACCCTGAAAAAGAACCCTGACTTGCAGGGCGTTTTAATGGTTTCGGGGGACATGAACTGGGCGGCTATAAAATTCAATAGGATTCTTCACTGGAACTAGCTCAACAACCACAGATAGTTTGAAAAAATAACTTTCCCAAAGTTGTATCTGTCAAGTGTTTACAATCATTGTGAACGGGCGGAGGGGCTCTACGGAAGGATAGAAGTGAATACAATATACCCCAATATTAAATGAAGATTCTCAATTTACCCTATTAACACCCCATTCCCCAAAAAGCCAACATAATTTTATCTAACGACTTTCTTTGTGATTCATTATTGATATGAGTCAACGCAAACATTTGACTAGATCCTGTCCCATTTATGACTAACGGAGATTTTAAAAAGATATGAATTCTGCTTTCAAGGACATAAACAAAATTGAAACAGCTATAGAAATACGTCTTTAATTTTTGATAATTTATACATAAAAACATGAAACTATTCTTTATCTATTTCAATAGAGTATCGCATTCTGAACTAAGAGATCCGGTCCTTAACACGTGATTACCGTATCGTTCTTTTACAGAGCACAATAAGAAAATAACAGATTTATTGACAGCAAGGTCAACCTTTTATTTTCAAACGACCTCAAAATATCTAAATGAGTAATATTTCTAGAGAATTTCCAATAATTTAATTACCTATCCACTTTATCGTGCACGAGGCATGGTATACATGATCTTTCAAGAATACACGATAGCACTTCTCATTTGATGAGCTGACAGGGTTAATACAATTTGATGAGTTGGCAGGGTTGATACAATTTAATAGTTTTATTGTTGTTGTTTTTCAGATGAAAATATTAATCGTGTTCCTGTTACATTTTGATTTATACTATTTTTTAAACTTTATAGTTTTATTTTTTTTTTTTTGGTCATGGAACTTTTTTGTTATATGGTCTCGGTTTTTAATGCAAAGATTTAACCAGCCACAACGTCACGCCCACCACGGCTTTCCATGGCCATGTCAGTTGCAGCTTTAACAGCCATGGATTGCCGCAACAGGTTGCTGTATAACCACACGATCACCACGGCTCTCCTTAGCCATGGCAGGTAGTTGCTGCTAGGCTGTAGTCAATCTGTTATACAGACCTAATGCGACATCCGTCTTTTATCTCTGTCCAAGATGACTGACCTTTAAAAGGTCCGACCGCTGTAGTTCTAAGGGGGACGTCACATCACAATGTTTACCAACAAAGCAAGATGGCATCGATAGCGCCAAAAAAGATTACTTCTGTGGCTTGTTTTTGTAGTTTTAAAACAAACACGAACAGGTCAATAAGATTAGACGGTAAACAAACAGAAAAAAACGTCAAATTGATGGTCACACGTGTGTTGTTTACATCGAACGTAGTAATATGAACTGGTACAGGGCAGAATTATATCGTTTTACCCATTTTACGCCTCCGCGTACTATTTTCTGTACCTATTTACGCTAAATATGGAATATTTTTTATCAAGATATACTTCAAACAAGTTAATAAAGTTAAAAAAGTTAATATTTTGTAGTCATTAAGTCGCATCGATGTCATCCTTATCAGTGATTGTAGCGGCCAAGCAAATATTCACTGCGGATCAGTGTGGGCTGTAGTATATAACTACATGATTCTCCGTGGCCATGACATTTTGTAGCTTTAACTACATGTTGTAGCTTTAACCATCACTGTTTTCCGCGGCCATCATAGGTTGTATCTTTAACCACCACGGTTTTATACTTGGCAAGTTGCCAGTGACCTGTATTTAATATAAAATATTATGAAAGGAATGTTTTTATTTCAGACGTGTAGATATATGTTGATAATAATATATCTATTGATGATTACACAATTTAACGTCTCCATGTATTTATTAATGTTACGATTCTTTCTTTAGTTGAACAACCAATCTATTTAATGGCCACGTGCAAATCGCACGTACACCCCAAATGACAAACAGGTTTTCACGGGGAATTTATATTCAGTTTATACCGTACAAATGGTATCTGTATTACCTGGAGTTTCTTGGGGTTTTTTTGTGATGACAAACTTTTCACAATTTTATACAAAAGCTGTATGATACTCTTAGGTACACAACCAGGCCTGTATGTTTCCACGCCTTCCCCGCCCTCAAATTCCTCACTTTCCCCCAGGAAGGTATGTTGCCCCCTCCACCACACACACACACCTTCACTCCAATGGCGATGACGACAAATAACAAAACCCCAGTATTCGACAGTATTTCTAGCGTCTTATTTATACAATTTGTCAAGTCTAGTATCGTGTTGAATCTGTCAAATGTGTGGGGTTTTTTTTAGATAATTTTATTATGTACTTGACTAGTTTATATATTTTAATGGTAATTATACAAATATCATTTATTACTTTGATGAATAGAATCCTGATCAAACTTATTTGTTAATAAATACTTTAGATGGTACAACATCACCTTATCATCAGTCTCAGATATAGACAAACAATAACCCTAAGAATTAAAACTGTTTGAATAATTTTTGAAGGATTTCAAGTGCACTTCAAAAACGGCTCGGGGCGTGGTACGATCATTTGGAAAATTAAAATTTCGCATGTCTCTGCTCGACTGGTCGTTTACACATTATAAACTTACAATATGTTTTTATATACACTTTACTAACTTTGCTTGACCTGTTGGGACACATAAATTTGCAATTAACTTACTACTGGTTTGTCAATAAATTATATTATATAAAATTTTATAAAATCTGAAAAGGTACAATTAACATGTCCTTTATCATATGAAAACGTAGAAGTATATTATTTTTACATATTAAGACCTAAATAGCTAGAAAAATTTATTTGGATTCCACAAAGTTCTTCTTTTCTTGTATCTTTTCGTCGGGAATGATGTCGGTAAGAAATCAAAACTACACTACGGATAATATTGTGCGAACATGTGAAACGGAATTAAAAATGTCCACATTGCGATTGTTTTTTTCTGAAAAATCACACGACAAGGTCCCAAAGATTTTGTCAGTTATCTTACTACTGATTTGTCAATTATTATATATAATGTTATAAAATCAAGAAATCAATGTAAAAAGTATATTTGTATTCTGTATTCTAAATTATTACTTATACTCAGTCATCGCTAAAAGTTTTAAATCTCTGTAGGCCGTGAGATAGTAGGTTTATAGGCTGCAGGCGAGTAGACATGTAGGATGTAGAAAAGTGGACGTGTAGGATGTGAGAGAGAGAGACCGAGAGACAGACAGACAGAGGGGGGTGGGGGTATCGTCCACTCGACACAAACAAGGTCATTTCGGAACTAACATATGGTTCAATTTTATTTCAATAATTCGCTTGCGCGTAGGGGTCTTTAGCATTGGGAGGAAACCAGAGGACCCGGAGAAATCCCATGAGGTTGTACAGGCGACCCTACTCCTTGTCACGTACAACCGGGGATTCGAAACCACACCAGTTGGCTCAATTTTAGACCTTATGATACAGCGCGCACGTGCTAACCATTCGGACCCCCCCACCACCCACCCCCCCCACACACACACACACACACACTCTATAGGATGTAGAAGAGTGGACGTGTAAACTGTGGATAGGGGCTATACATCATATAAATGATCAGGATATTTATAGTAGCATTAGTCATTATCTACCAATCATACAGGACAGAGTTTAAATCACGCCTTATTTTTTATTGATAAAATGAATGTTTGAAATGTTACTAGGGGTGACAGTAAACACACACATATATACCTTGACCAAGAGGCGAGCGTCAGACGCTATCCAGACAGCAGCCGTTAAACAGTTGTTCATCTAGAGTTGAAGACTGCATCCAGCACAAGAACAAATAAACAAGTCAGGTAGATATGATATTATTTGATGTATTTTGATTTCATATATTTATATAGTAAGACATGTTTCATATCTTTATAGTAGGACCTCCTTCAATGTTAAACTTCTATAAAGGAGTATGTTATAAATTCAGAAGTTTTGGGACAATATTCCTGTTCAATTAGGTGCCTACCTGTATAGGATTAGGTAGATACATGTATAGGAAATGAAAATGAAATGAAATGGAGTTTAACGTCCTACTGTTCTGCTCCTAGCCTGGGCTAATGAAGACGGGTATACGCCATACAGTGTGCTATGAGGGAAATTTTGCCCGGACAGCGGCACTACGGCCTACTCTTATATCGAATTCCAACTGCCAAGGGATCTTTTACGTGCACGCCAATGTGTACACGGGACCTCGGTTTTTCGTCCCATCCGAACGACTAGACAGCTTTCCTTGTCAGCCCCTCCGTCCTGCATCACTGACAAGGGAGAACCACGCCGGAAAATCTGGATGAACTTTCTCGGCCAATGCAGGGATCGAACACCCGACCTCCAGGCTAGCGAGCTAGCGTCTTACCCACGTGATCCCCCTACATGTATAGTATTAGGTACATACCTGTATAGGATTAGACTGGAGTATGGTGGACTATGGTTGTCATAGCAAATACATATTATTTTAATACAATTTTATATTATTTTTCAAATTATTTCCAATTCTATTTATTATTAATTTTTTTTTTAATTTTTTTCTACTTTTATTATTTTTTTTATTATTATTCATTTAAATGTTTTATTTGATTTTATTATTTGATAATTTTTTTTAATATTTATTTATTTTAATTCTTTTTTTCATCTTCATGATTTTTATTTTTTCGTGACAATTTTTTTTTTTTCATTTCATATAAAATTTGTTTTATTTCATACAAAACTTTTTTTTTTATTTCATAAAAAACTCTTTTTTTTTATTATTTCATAAAAAAAACTTTTTTTTTTATTCCATATTTTTTTTTTTATTCCAATAAACTTTTCTTTTTTAATTCATAAAAAACTTTGCTTTACGTCTTAAAATTGAATCACCACCAGAATATGGACCTGTTTTTTCCTTTAATGAGGTATATTTTGCCAAAACAAGCAGTAACGACTTTGTAAGCATTGAAAAATATATTCCTGGTGACTTCAAAAAATACACCAATAAGACAGGAGTAATTGTAAAAGCCAGCACACTAGATTAATAGCAACATCTAAGTTAAATGAAGTGAAAGATGGGCTTGATGGAGAGGCGTTCTTCTGCATGGGCAATTTGTTATCAATGGCCATCGAAAACTTTTTAAAACAGCACATGTGCAATACATACTGTACAATGTTAGGATTAAAAGGAAACAAGTAAAATAAAAACAATAAACATTTTAATATTTTAATACTGAACATTTTGTGTTTGAATAGGACATAATAGCAGTACATTCATGTTGACATAACGCAGAAGGTTCAAAAGAATCTTTCAATATTTTATTTGGTACTGTGAAATACTAAGAAAATACAAGTATTTGAGGTTATGAGTTTAGTTTTTAAAAAAAACTAAATTAATTACATAGTAAAATATGTATATGTTACTTTTTCCAGAAACATTGTTAGTAAATTTTTTTATCAAATATTTGTTCCTGTTTCAATTAATAAATATTTGGGACAAGAAAACACACCTAGGTTGATTTGATTAATCAGCTAGTATCCAACTGATTTTTCAATGTGGGTTATTGGCCTATGTATGAGTTAAAATTTATTGCCAGACAAACTATTTTAATATTATTGGCATATTAACCATTTTAACAGAAAATGTGCCTACTGAAGTTCTCTGTACTTCCATAACATTAAATGAGCGTAAAGGGCCATTCCGACTTGTATAAAGTAAATCAAAATTATTTCAAAATAACCTTCTTTTTATTTAAATATTAGTATTGACACAAAAGTGTTCCAAAGACAATATTTTTTAAATATTTGCCATAACAATATTTTTTATTCCTGAAATCAATTCGTGTATGGTATATTCAAGACTCAGTTGTACTTTTAATTTGAATGACATCACATTGCGTCATTTGAACTACCAGGTGCTCAGGAAAAACAACATAAATAAACCACTTGTGTGCATTGATGTTTTTAAATTTTTTAAAAATTTATTCTGACAATAATCATAGAGTGATCATACATGTATTATGAACCAACATTTTAGGGATACTTAGTGCGAATGGTACTTTAATCAAACATATCTGCTTTTGTTTTTCAATAATTAATTATTGTTTTATTAAATATTATATTTGTTATTGTAAAGCAAAGTTTTAAAAAGCTTTATTAGCAATAATAAAGATTTGCAGTTTAGAGTTTTTGTTAGCATACAGAACCCAACTACTTTAAAGGATATATGATGTGACAGCAAATGGCTGCTGAACCAAATCGTTAATCTGCTAATGAGTATAAAATTAGAATAATAGGTTGCATTTCGCATAGTCAAATCAAATATAGGTCCCAAAATAGTATTCAAATTTCAACTGTTTGGAGACTACCCCATCATGTTTCCCTGAGAATTTCAATATGTATCTTTATGTATTTCAGAAGTGTTTGGAATACAATTTGGCAAAATAATTATCATGGTCATACCACTTTTGTACATTTTCTGCATAATGACATACATGTAAAATACACTTTACCATGTCTTAAAAGGAATATATACCCTAAAAGAGTGCTACATTTGATACAATAACAGATCTCATCAACATGATTATAACAATAAATCTGAATAGTCATAAGGAAAGCATATGCACGATATCGAAAATATCAATACAGTAGAATGTCATATTATTTACATGTTTTGAAAGCACAAGCACTGGATCTTGTAGTTTTAAACCTTAAAATCATAATGCAGGAAAACAGCATTACAGTTTTTTTAAGGCCCAGAAAAATAACCCAATATACATGTAAACAATCGAAAAACAAAAACCTAAAAAAGTAATGCTGTTCAACTAAGATTTAGTTGGGTATGAGTAAGCAGCATGGAAATTAAAGGATTTTGCCTTCAAATTGTACAGGACAATTATCAACAAATGTTGATAGAGTGATGTACAGTTGTATAAATCAAGTCAGATTATTTACAAAAAAATATTTCTTGGCTTTTTATGGCGATTTTAGTACAACAATTTGTCAATAAAGATAACAGATTTTAGGAAAGAATGGTAGTGTCATATTTAGTTATAATATATGTCTCATATTCTTATATTAGTTGACCTAAAACTTTAAGCAATAACATAATGGTCTGATGAGATATACTGAACACATTGATCGTGGTTAGATAAAACACCAAGGATGACACATCTATTAACTTTCAGTGTGTTTACTCCTCTAAGAAAGGGTATGGGGTTTATGTGGTTGTATTGTCTGGTTGAACTGTTCCTTTGGCTAAACACCATGAAAATCACTTCAAGATGCACATATCACAAACAGAAAGATTGAACTTTCAACTTGAAGCAACATCTGCAAGGTTGAAATTAGACTTCAAAATAAATAAATAGGCTACATCAGCATTATTAGAACAAATTTCAGTTGGGTCTACATGGCGCATACATCATCTCTGAAGTCGTCTGTAAGATAATTTACTTCACAAATATTGGCCAAATCAGCAACCTCATTTAAATCGTTTTCAGAGACTTTTAAAGAACAATTCACACCACCATATTTTTCCGGATAAGAATACAAATGTTCTGGTATTCCTGTCGGTAATTCTTTCTTATTGTTTTTTTCTGCAACGATGATTGTTCCACACAGTTTCTCTAAATATATCTAACTCTTTTTGAATTATTGGTATGTATACATGAAAAAAAACCCAAAAGAATTCATCAGTAATTTGTAGGTTTATTATGTCAGTAGTGGATTTCCGACCTTTTCCTGACAATAATTGGTGATCCTAATGGTACTGAAATCAAGAGTACTTTGCTAATTTAGACCTAATTTGTCATCTGTATTGCCAAAGAAATGATTTATATCCAGATAGCTACGCAAAGCGTGTTAATACACCCACACAGCAGCTTTCACACAAGAATTGTGTCAAGTAATAGGAAAAATTCGAACATGTTGTTCAGAATTGTGTAAAAAACAACAGAGACCCTCCTTGGCTACCCATAAAACCACTGTATTTAGTTAATGTAAATTTGCGTCTAATAAAGGGGTATTATTCAAACAATTTGTTTCAAATTCACACAAAAAAATGATAGAGACCCCCAGATAATACCATTAAAGGCACCCTGTGCCATCAATTGTGAACGAGCGAATATTGTCATATAATACACCATACATTTCAAGTGAGCATATAAAAAGCACAAATCAATGTTGTATGGCCAAAGCTTACATTTTCCACTTGAATTGTGTTTATCAGCATAAAATATCACTGATGGGTATAACTTATCCAGTAATAATAGTAATTATCTTACCTATCTTTTTCATTTGATGGATTATAATCTCCATTTTCTAAAAGACCAGAAATCTGTTTTTTAAAGTAAATCTCCAGTCTGTAATGTAAGTCTCTCGTAAATCGTTCAATTTTATTCCCAGTGGAAGGACCATATAGGACGAAATCTGTTGCATCCTCAACTGCAAGATACTTGTCAATTAGATAACAATGCATTGTGGTCATATCTCCTGTTTCTGTACCTCTGTCCTATTAATATAATAAATAAAGACTAATAGAGCTTAATCATAACCCTTTAAAACATTTTTGTTAAATTTTCTGCTTTAATCTTGCATTGTGTATTGTTATAAGAATGAATTAGATATTCTGGGTACAATAACTGAAATGTGGATACTATAAATAGAATACATAATGCTTGAAAATCTTTTTTTTAAATACAGTAGACTATATCTGAATTTTAGTATCATTTGAAGCCAATAAAAAAAACATCTAGAATATTATATTGGTATGAAACAATTTCTGATCAATTTCAATTTTCTCAAATGTTTATACTGGCAAGTTTTTGTTAGAAGCATTATCTATAAAATTTACAAAATGAACAACTACAATTGATGTAAAAGTATTAGCCTTGATCATCCATAACAAAATGGCAATAATGCTTTATTGTTATAACTTTTAAAATATTATTGTAATAAGGAGATTAAAACAGAATGTTGACATTATGTCTTGCTCTCATGAGCGAATATAGATAAAGAAAGAAGTTTCGAAATTTATATTTTATTTTTCGTCCATGACTTTCATAGGGTACTTGTAATGTACTAACTACGTTATGATGACAGCCATTACAATTTTAGGAATAATTTATTAGCTTACTTCTAGTTTCATATAAATATTCGAGATAGAATGTTCCTATTATCTTTGGATCATTGTTGCTTGTAGATACTTTAAGGAACTGAATTCTCCCACTATAGGTGTCTTGACAACCATAAACACACAAGGGAAAAGTGGATTTCGGGTAGCCGCATAATTTATCATGGCCATCTAATGACAGTGTATAGTCTGGCCCCTGAAAAACAAATAATATCATTAACAAGAATAAACTGCAGGATAAATAAAAACTAAATCAGAAAGTATGAAACTCTAGTTATAGTTAAAGGGCCATTCTCGCTTGTTTGAGGTATAGCAATATTTAAAATTACGCTTATTTTTATATAAAAAATAGTATTACCACAAAAGCGTCTGTATAATACGCTAATAGCTATCATAAACGTATATGCATTTATATAGAGTAGAACATTGACAGTCATTTTCTAACTGACTAACAGTAGGTCAAATAATTAAAATATGCAATCACATTCTATCATTCCTATTTTCATGTTTTTACGATTTTTATATCTAAAAGTGATTTGTGGATGGCATAAAATGTGAGAAAATTCTGAGTGTTCATTTAATCGAGAGTAAGATTTGTAGTTTAACTTAAATGGTGTCATGTTGCATTATGTAAAATTGAATAACCAGACACTCACAAAAAAAACAGTACACATGAACGAGTTGTGCGATCCTTTGTTTTTAAAACTTTACCAGTATTTAATATACTGAATGCTAAGAAAAATCAATTAGCAGTTAACATGTTACAGAATATATTCTATAAAAACAAAAGGGCCAGACAAATGTATAAAGCTCTGTACACACATGTTGACCAGGTGCCATGTTGGTGAAAAGGTTGATATGTGTACAGTTCGGAATCCTTTGGTAACATTCGGGCAACATGTTGTCCAAATGTTGCCGAAATAAATACAACATCAATTTTGTTGCCGCGATGCTGATGATGTTGCCGCATTTTATCCAATCAGAAATGGGCCATAAATCACATGATCTACCTGGAGTCAAGTGATGTAGACAAAATGGCAGCTACCAGCAAGGAATGGTTGTTAATTTGCCCTATATGTTGTCGTTCTGTTGCTGAGTGTATACAGGGCCAAATTTTTGTTGCCCAGGTGTGTTGCTGAGATGTTTCTGAAAATATTACAGAAAATGTTGGCAGTGTGTACTGAGCTTTAGACTTACTTCTGAATAAAAATTCCTTTCCCTCCTTGGACGTTTCGGTTTTCCAACACCACCTCTTTCTTCTAATCCACTAGCATCCAATTCTTGCATAACTGCATACATCAGGTCTCTGGGGACATTTAGGAGATGGATCTGCAAAACAACGTATTTAACAATGCATAATATGTTACCATACATTATATGTCAAGATTATATGAGACCAAAATCTGTGCAGATTTAAGACCAGTCCACCCTCCTTTCCTTGTGCTTACTGCCAAGGTTTTAGAGGAAATTCATAGAATCAGCACTGCTCTATAAACTTGTATCAGTTGTCTTAATATTGATTTTGAGTACCGGTAGTGTTCACATGAATGGTAAATTTTGTTTTTCGTATATTTTACGGTACATTACATGTAAATAAGTCTAGACTTATCTTAAGATAATATTTTCCAGTACATATTCAGAATATTTCTATAGTTCACCTTCTTGCCTAGGTCACAAGCTGAAATAATACGATCACAGGAACTGCTTGAGGTACGTTACTGAAATACTCCGTACGTAGTCTTACTACTACTAGACCAGTTTTCCAGTTTGGGTATAAAATGCATAATTAAAATATATACCGGTAATTAATAACATACCGGTGTAATCAATCTAACCTACCTCTCGTACATTTTGGTGCATTGCCCTATAACCTAAAAGGCGCCCAGGTCCTTAGAGATCTCCCTATATCAATAGTATAGTCTGTATATTTAATACCAAAAATAGAGATCGCAGACTCCAGGAGTATTCGCTAAATTTATCTTGAACAAAGTCAATTATTTCATGTCGTCAAAGCCTTCTAGCTACATAAGTTGCTAAACAATCCCTTAGCTCTATGTCGTGTTTCCATTGACCATTTATGATTCTTAACATTGCATACACAATAATAAAAAAAACACACCCAAAACAAGCTTTTAGACCCTATTAACTAGTTTTCAAAATTTATAAAATTCACGCCTCAGGCGAAAGTAAACAATAGACTGGAACAACCGGCAATAAAAACTAAGGGAGACAACTCGCAATCTGATACCATTCAGGACTGGATAACCTAGACACTATGGCAAAGAAGGGGACGTGTTAAAAAAAAAAGTTTTTTATGAATTAAAAAAAATAAATTTATGGAATAAAAAAAAAAAAAAAATTTATTAAATAAAAAAAAAAGTTTTTATGAAATAAAAAAAAATATATTTTTATGAAATAAAAAAAAAGAATTATTTTTATGAAATAAAAAAAAAGAATTATTTTTATGAAATAAAAAAAAGTTTTATATGAAATGAAAAAAAAAAAAAAAAATTAATACGAATTAAAATAAATAAATATTAGAAAAAAAATATGAAATAAAAAAATTAATAATAAAATGAATAATAATTGAATAATAATATAAAATTGTATTAAAATAATATGTATTTGCTATGGCAACCATAGTCCACCATACACGAGTCAACCGTTGATATTTTGATTGTTTTTTCTTAATTAAATATTTTGTAAACAATTTGAGATTAAACCGTAAAAAAATGTAGATGACACACAAAAACTTTAATATATTTAATTGAATATTCACAATTACCACCTACAAAATCTCGCTGTTTTAAATTATTGCTGTTGAATATTACGTATGATATATTTAGAATTTGCGTCCCAGACAATTGTTTATTAAACTATGTCATTGTTTATCAAGCAAACTACTTTACTGTATCAATCTGGCTGATGAACACGCCTTGATGTATGTCAAAGACAAGCAGTCCATATAATATAAGGCTTAATTTCAAGTAAACCTTTGAATACAGACCTAGGTCTCCATCCTCCTATTGTCAGAACATACAAGTCACTGAACGAAATTGAAATCTAATTTTAATTACATTTTCTTGTTTTTAAGATAAAAGACCAGGTGAAGTAAGATACCTATCTAGGTCCAGAATACAAATAATAAAAATCTGTTATCAAGATGTCGAAGTACCAAGGTAAGTAGAATGATGGTAATACTCTAACTACTTTGCTCTTAGATTCATTATAATGCCCCTCAGTGGACCAAAAGTCTTATGTCATAACCCTTGTTCTTTACCTGTTCGTGTGTCTCGTGAATTGTAGCCTGAGTAGGGTTTCTATAATCATAAGTTTCCGTTATTTTCTGTACCTATATTCAACTCTGCACATGATTCGAGATCGACCCCCTTTATCAACATTTTCTTGTTATTTGGTTTATAATATTTATGTAATGTAGATTTCTTTATCTAATTTGTCCATATTTGTTTAATGTGTTTGGTGTGCCGTCCCTTTAATCCTTTGTCTTTATATATATATATATGGGCATTCATAGTAGTGAAAGATGGATATTGGCAGGCATCGACAGAATATCTTTGAGTCATGTTTTTGTGTTTTATTATTGCAAATTAGTATTCTGAACGCGTGCCTATCATTATTTTTGATGTGCCTATGACTTGCCGAATTTTATTCATATTTTAATGCTTTCCTTTCATATTTCATGTAAATCTAGGGGACATAACTCTATTTTTATTAATTATTGTTCAAATACAGTTTTCGTTAAATATTAATTATCTCCATTAATATGTTTGTAGATTTTTAGTGTCAAAACGTAGGAAATATATATTAACAATTTTATAATAGGTTTTCGTAGTTGAGGCGAGGGTTCTTTTGTGATTTTAGAATGTTTCCCAAGTCTGAGCTTACCAGTCCTTTGTCGGTTAAAGACAGTCAATATAGTTTGCCTGTGCGTTGAGCGAATTGATCTGATTATTATGTCAATCCCTGTTATTGCAACAGTAGAAATTAGGAACTTTAGTGGGAGTGCTAATAGATTTTTACTTACTTGATTTGATCTGATTTATATCAATCCCTGTTATTGCAACAGTAAGAATTAAGAACTTTAGTGGGAGTGTTAATAGATTTTTACTTGACTGAATTATAAAGGAGCTTAATTCTTGTACGGTAAATTTTCTTTTATTTATATATAAGTTTAGAGTTTGAATATTGTTAGCGACGCCCACAAAGCGTCCCGAACCTGTCATATCTGATTACCCGGTGCTGTTCAGCCATCCCAACAACCGAATTACATTATTTTCATGTTTGATGTATAAATAAAGCTGTTTTGGAGATATTTTAGTATATTTTTATTTGGAAGCTATCCTGTCTAGTGAGCGGGTAACAGAATCACTGGTTGGATTTAAACAAAATTTGGTACTTAATATGTTGAGTGGGTGATTATTTTAAATGAATTGGTCAGTTCAATTAAGGAGCGCCATCGTAGTTTCTTTTTTGTAAAACGACTTACGTACTAACTTTATATTTAATTCACATTAGCTACATTTATCGAATATCGGTTACTTCCCCTTGTTTTGGGCTTCGTATTTGCCTCATCTCAGCAAACAGAACAGTTCTAACTTTCGGGCAATCTGACTTTTCGGGAAGTGAAACAAAAATTATAATTTCAACTAGTTGGCAAAATAAAACACTTATTTTACTTTCCTTTTAATCATATACCGCGAATTGAATTGACTTATGGATTAAAACATTTTGTCTGGAGCCACTCTATTTTGTGCAACATTTTTCGGGCAACGATTATTATTTGTGAATGCAGCTGCAATAGTCTGATAGGATGGTTGGTATTCGGGTTGGCATAAAGTGGGATTTTAGTAACATAACTATTAGGCAACTTTAGGGTTGCTTATCTCGTGGGCTTGAATAGCAGAAAAACGTATTTGCGGCGGTTAAATTTTCAAAATTTTCACCGGGAGGGCGAGCCGCCATAGCCCACAGCGATTGATTGGTTGTTTGTGATTCAAGTCAGCCAAGTCACGGACTGGAATAGCAGGAAAAGGTATTTGCGGCAGTTAAATTTTCAACATTTTCTCCCGACGGTTCCATCTCCATGAACAGTAAACGATCGGTTTGTTGAAGTTGCTGTATATTCAGGCGCTCGGATAGCTGGAAACAAGCGTTTGCGACCGTCAGTTTTTCTAATATATTCTTGGAGAGAGTACCCCCCCCCCTCCTCCACTAATACAACATTAAAACATGAAACGTTATTGCCATTTTATTTTAAACATATTTGAGAATATCAAGACTACAATAAAACTGTATAATAAATCATTTATTTCAGGAAGACAAAAGGGTCGGATGCCGGAAAACGACTATCATAAAATCCGAGCTAATTTCTGTTATCTGTTGGATCATATCAAAGAACCAGTAATACTTGGTAATAAATTATTTGAAAAAAACGTTTTCAACGCAGATGAAAAGGAAGAAATACAGAAAATATACATGAACGTTGAAAAGGGTCGGAATTCAGCTGCTGACAAGTTACTGATGTATGTCTTGTCAAACTGTGGTGATGCCTATGGTAAATTCATCCAATGTTTACGAGAGCTAGGTTACAGAGAAATCGTAAAGGTATTAGAAAACACCACAAATGGTAAGTTTATTTCTATTTTACACATAAACATTGATAACTTATAAAAATAGAAATACGAACGTAGCGGTTCTGTTCTTATTTGCTTGCATGAATCTGATGTTTCTATTTTAAACATTGATAACTTATAAAAATAGAAATATGAACGTGAGGGTTCTGTTCTTATATTTGCTTGAATGAATCCGATTTTTTGCGAGAAATGATTTTTATTACTTCCATGATTAAAGATCGTTAATTACTCGCCTACACATTTTAAACGTTTTAATTACTACCGTTTTCATGAAAATTAAATCATAGAAAATATAAATGATGAATCCCTATTATGTTTTCTTATCTTTACTAAATTAGGCCTACAACAGGTGCCTTTTATTAACATGACAATATACTGTATGTGATTATAGCAAAATAAGAAAGATTGATACTATAAACGAATTATCTGGACTAAGACTAGTAATTATTTCCCCTTATTTCATGATGGACGAATGTAGTGCGAGTTATAAATAGACAATTTTTCCCTTAATTTTTTTCTCCCCTCTTCCTGCATTTTTGGGTTGACTTTTTGGTCTAGAATTGGAGAAAAGGGATCAAATTTGCAATTTCATAGCAGTTTTGGGTAATACTGATGATATTACAGCGGAGGGATAGGGGGTGTAAAGTGTCTTTCTGCAGAGCAGTCATTGTGTCGGAAGTGAGATTTTCACCCCAGTCAACTTCAAATCCGTGTAGCAAAAAATCTAAATGGTCAACCCCCTACAAAATTATGATGAGGAGATTGCCAAATGTTGTCCCCATTGTGCCTATAAAGATTGGAACCAACGGAATGTTGAGAAAAAAGCTACAGCCTGTGATGTTACAGCCATTTAACATTGAAGTCAATGGGCAAATAATTGCTAGTCTGAGTCCTGATGAGGTAAAGAAACATGGCCGACTCGGGATGTTGATATTTTTTCAAGGGCTTATTTCCTGAAATTTTGAATGGAAAGTGTCAGAAATAGTAAGAATACTGCTTTTTTATTGCCCAGCAGTAAGTTTTTTGACTATTTGGTATCAAAATAGCCATGATTGGGGGTATCCGTTGGTTGAGTGTGAATTTTGGGTTGTAAATGTGTAACATTTTCTTCACAATGATATCAAAACATGGTTAGGTCTAAATATTAAGGCCAACTCAACTCCAGATTTGGTCTAAAGTCACGAGATGTAAACAAGGCTGACCCTAACCCTAACCCAAGACCCAGTCCTTACCCTAACCCTAACCCACAATCTTGTCAAGAAGCATGTAGCCTAGGCCTAAGCCAAGACCTAGTTCTGACCCTAGCCCAAACCCACAATTGTGTAAAAAAATCATGTGCCCTAACCCTATTTACATGTTGTGACCTTGAACCAAGTCTGCAGTTGGCCTTAACATTTAGACCTAACATGTTTTTGACATCATACAATGAAATGTTAACATGTACACTCCAAAATTCACACCTGTGTGACTTTTGACCAAACATGCAGTTGGCCTTAATATTTAGACCGAACCTCAAAACATGGCATCTACCTTTGAGATTGGCTTAGACTTATGTGACACTCAAGGTTTACTTTTTTACTGATTGTTAACTGGTTTCTTTTTGGAGGGCCAGTGACGGGCTGTTCGCGAGAAATAAAGAGGTTTATTTCTATTTCCAGTTGAAACCATATTTTTTTCTTATTTTCTCACTGTTTTTTATTGCATATTTATCCCCAGCCTCCTATCATTTCAGGTGCCAGGGCATTGTTTCATAGAGTGGAATGATTGACCTCAACACAAGTATTAAAAAAAAAGAAGCAAAACAGGTGAGATAAATGTGCATTTCATACACTTTTAAGAAGTAAATCCAACCTCATCCCCACTTCTGCTCACTAATAGTAATGGGCTGGAAATTTGGTACTGCACAGGCCTGTCTTCTCCCCTTGACATTTAACTGAATGACAGAATTCCACATTTTGACCATTTTCTGGATGTCAATGACCATTTCCCTGGATAGTATTCGCCCCAGAATTCTCATTCTCATCCAAATTTAACATTTCAGGTCTACATCTCAAAACCTGATCTCTTCCTGGACTGGCTTTAGGAGAACGATGATGCATATCAATTTCATCCCTGATCTCTATGACACCTGTGGTGGAAGTGGAGGGCAAATCGTAATCAGTTTGGGACCTCTGTAAACTTTGCTTTTTGGTGATGACTTAATTTCCGAGCTTGAAAAGGACGCTTGTGTGTTTATCATGGCCTCTCATATTGGAAGATAACATTAATGGCTTGTGTGTTGATCGACGGTTGTGCATATCTCTTGGTCAGGAAAGTTGTAGGCACCATCGCCATTGTAAATCATTTGACAGGCTCGAGTGAACGGGGCGACCTATGATTGGTCAGCAATGTATCAGATTCCATACCGGGGGGTGGGGATGAAAAAACTGTTGTAGTGTTACATAATCAGATTATTTCAACTTACTTATCCTGTGGAAATACAGCTATATAGGAGATATTTTGAAATTCATAGGCACTGCATGTTTCAACATTTTAGATTTGACCACAATTTGGCACTTAAAACTATGTTAACAGAGAAAAACTGTGTGGTTTTCGATGAAAGTGTTAAAAGTCTAATATTGCATCATGATTACTGTTTTAAAGTATTTTCGTGTTTGATTTATATTGAATTCATCTCATCTTTTTGAAGAATGCATTTATGTTCAAAAATAAAAATGTTCTGTGGAATTCAAAATTCATGTGCTTTTAAATTATCAGATTCCAAACTGGGGGGTAGGGATGAAAAAGCTGTTGTAGTGTTACATAATCAGATTATTTCAACTTACTTATCCTATGGAAATACAGCTATATAGGAGATATTTTAAAATTCATAGGCACTGCATGTTTCAACATTTTAGATTTGACCACAATTTGGCACTTGAAACTACGTTAACAGAGAAAAACTGTGTGGTTTTCGATGAAAGTGTTAAAAAGTCTAATATTGCATCATGATTACTGTTTTAAAGTATTTTCGTGTTTGATTTATATTGAATTTATCTCATCTTTTTACAGAATGCATTTATGTTCAAAAATAAAAATGTTCTGTTTAATTCAAAATTCATGTGCTTTTAAATTTCTGTCTGAAATTCCGCAGTTTTCTGATGCATTATAGTGTTTGCAGAATGCCGCACAGCTCATCTGAAAATGCATAGATTTTCATATTCTTTGGTCAGGGAATTGCATATATGTTTGTTTATTAGATAACAACAGATTTGTTTAAACTGCAGAAACATGTGAGGTATATAGGACTAAGACTAGTAATTATTTCCCCTTATTTCATGATGGACGAATGTAGTGCGAGTTATAAATAGACAATTTTTCCCTTAATTTTTTTCTCCCCTCTTCCTGCATTTTTGGGTTGACTTTTTGGTCTAGAATTGGAGAAAAGGGATCAAATTTGCAATTTCATAGCAGTTTTGGGTAATACTGATGATATTACAGCGGAGGGATAGGGGGTGTAAAGTGTCTTTCTGCAGAGCAGTCATTGTGTCGGAAGTGAGATTTTCACCCCAGTCAACTTCAAATCCGTGTAGCAAAAAATCTAAATGGTCAACCCCCTACAAAATTATGATGAGGAGATTGCCAAATGTTGTCCCCATTGTGCCTATAAAGATTGGAACCAACGGAATGTTGAGAAAAAAGCTACAGCCTGTGATGTTACAGCCATTTAACATTGAAGTCAATGGGCAAATAATTGCTAGTCTGAGTCCTGATGAGGTAAAGAAACATGGCCGACTCGGGATGTTGATATTTTTTCAAGGGCTTATTTCCTGAAATTTTGAATGGAAAGTGTCAGAAATAGTAAGAATACTGCTTTTTTATTGCCCAGCAGTAAGTTTTTTGACTATTTGGTATCAAAATAGCCATGATTGGGGGTATCCGTTGGTTGAGTGTGAATTTTGGGTTGTAAATGTGTAACATTTTCTTCACAATGATATCAAAACATGGTTAGGTCTAAATATTAAGGCCAACTCAACTCCAGATTTGGTCTAAAGTCACGAGATGTAAACAAGGCTGACCCTAACCCTAACCCAAGACCCAGTCCTTACCCTAACCCTAACCCACAATCTTGTCAAGAAGCATGTAGCCTAGGCCTAAGCCAAGACCTAGTTCTGACCCTAGCCCAAACCCACAATTGTGTAAAAAAATCATGTGCCCTAACCCTATTTACATGTTGTGACCTTGAACCAAGTCTGCAGTTGGCCTTAACATTTAGACCTAACATGTTTTTGACATCATACAATGAAATGTTAACATGTACACTCCAAAATTCACACCTGTGTGACTTTTGACCAAACATGCAGTTGGCCTTAATATTTAGACCGAACCTCAAAACATGGCATCTACCTTTGAGATTGGCTTAGACTTATGTGACACTCAAGGTTTACTTTTTTACTGATTGTTAACTGGTTTCTTTTTGGAGGGCCAGTGACGGGCTGTTCGCGAGAAATAAAGAGGTTTATTTCTATTTCCAGTTGAAACCATATTTTTTTCTTATTTTCTCACTGTTTTTTATTGCATATTTATCCCCAGCCTCCTATCATTTCAGGTGCCAGGGCATTGTTTCATAGAGTGGAATGATTGACCTCAACACAAGTATTAAAAAAAAAGAAGCAAAACAGGTGAGATAAATGTGCATTTCATACACTTTTAAGAAGTAAATCCAACCTCATCCCCACTTCTGCTCACTAATAGTAATGGGCTGGAAATTTGGTACTGCACAGGCCTGTCTTCTCCCCTTGACATTTAACTGAATGACAGAATTCCACATTTTGACCATTTTCTGGATGTCAATGACCATTTCCCTGGATAGTATTCGCCCCAGAATTCTCATTCTCATCCAAATTTAACATTTCAGGTCTACATCTCAAAACCTGATCTCTTCCTGGACTGGCTTTAGGAGAACGATGATGCATATCAATTTCATCCCTGATCTCTATGACACCTGTGGTGGAAGTGGAGGGCAAATCGTAATCAGTTTGGGACCTCTGTAAACTTTGCTTTTTGGTGATGACTTAATTTCCGAGCTTGAAAAGGACGCTTGTGTGTTTATCATGGCCTCTCATATTGGAAGATAACATTAATGGCTTGTGTGTTGATCGACGGTTGTGCATATCTCTTGGTCAGGAAAGTTGTAGGCACCATCGCCATTGTAAATCATTTGACAGGCTCGAGTGAACGGGGCGACCTATGATTGGTCAGCAATGTATCAGATTCCATACCGGGGGGTGGGGATGAAAAAACTGTTGTAGTGTTACATAATCAGATTATTTCAACTTACTTATCCTGTGGAAATACAGCTATATAGGAGATATTTTGAAATTCATAGGCACTGCATGTTTCAACATTTTAGATTTGACCACAATTTGGCACTTAAAACTATGTTAACAGAGAAAAACTGTGTGGTTTTCGATGAAAGTGTTAAAAGTCTAATATTGCATCATGATTACTGTTTTAAAGTATTTTCGTGTTTGATTTATATTGAATTCATCTCATCTTTTTGAAGAATGCATTTATGTTCAAAAATAAAAATGTTCTGTGGAATTCAAAATTCATGTGCTTTTAAATTATCAGATTCCAAACTGGGGGGTAGGGATGAAAAAGCTGTTGTAGTGTTACATAATCAGATTATTTCAACTTACTTATCCTATGGAAATACAGCTATATAGGAGATATTTTAAAATTCATAGGCACTGCATGTTTCAACATTTTAGATTTGACCACAATTTGGCACTTGAAACTACGTTAACAGAGAAAAACTGTGTGGTTTTCGATGAAAGTGTTAAAAAGTCTAATATTGCATCATGATTACTGTTTTAAAGTATTTTCGTGTTTGATTTATATTGAATTTATCTCATCTTTTTACAGAATGCATTTATGTTCAAAAATAAAAATGTTCTGTTTAATTCAAAATTCATGTGCTTTTAAATTTCTGTCTGAAATTCCGCAGTTTTCTGATGCATTATAGTGTTTGCAGAATGCCGCACAGCTCATCTGAAAATGCATAGATTTTCATATTCTTTGGTCAGGGAATTGCATATATGTTTGTTTATTAGATAACAACAGATTTGTTTAAACTGCAGAAACATGTGAGGTATATATATATGGACTAAGACTAGTAATTATTTCCCCTTATTTCATGATGGACGAATGTAGTGCGAGTTATAAATAGACAATTTTTCCCTTAATTTTTTTCTCCCCTCTTCCTGCATTTTTGGGTTGACTTTTTGGTCTAGAATTGGAGAAAAGGGATCAAATTTGCAATTTCATAGCAGTTTTGGGTAATACTGATGATATTACAGCGGAGGGATAGGGGGTGTAAAGTGTCTTTCTGCAGAGCAGTCATTGTGTCGGAAGTGAGATTTTCACCCCAGTCAACTTCAAATCCGTGTAGCAAAAAATCTAAATGGTCAACCCCCTACAAAATTATGATGAGGAGATTGCCAAATGTTGTCCCCATTGTGCCTATAAAGATTGGAACCAACGGAATGTTGAGAAAAAAGCTACAGCCTGTGATGTTACAGCCATTTAACATTGAAGTCAATGGGCAAATAATTGCTAGTCTGAGTCCTGATGAGGTAAAGAAACATGGCCGACTCGGGATGTTGATATTTTTTCAAGGGCTTATTTCCTGAAATTTTGAATGGAAAGTGTCAGAAATAGTAAGAATACTGCTTTTTTATTGCCCAGCAGTAAGTTTTTTGACTATTTGGTATCAAAATAGCCATGATTGGGGGTATCCGTTGGTTGAGTGTGAATTTTGGGTTGTAAATGTGTAACATTTTCTTCACAATGATATCAAAACATGGTTAGGTCTAAATATTAAGGCCAACTCAACTCCAGATTTGGTCTAAAGTCACGAGATGTAAACAAGGCTGACCCTAACCCTAACCCAAGACCCAGTCCTTACCCTAACCCTAACCCACAATCTTGTCAAGAAGCATGTAGCCTAGGCCTAAGCCAAGACCTAGTTCTGACCCTAGCCCAAACCCACAATTGTGTAAAAAAATCATGTGCCCTAACCCTATTTACATGTTGTGACCTTGAACCAAGTCTGCAGTTGGCCTTAACATTTAGACCTAACATGTTTTTGACATCATACAATGAAATGTTAACATGTACACTCCAAAATTCACACCTGTGTGACTTTTGACCAAACATGCAGTTGGCCTTAATATTTAGACCGAACCTCAAAACATGGCATCTACCTTTGAGATTGGCTTAGACTTATGTGACACTCAAGGTTTACTTTTTTACTGATTGTTAACTGGTTTCTTTTTGGAGGGCCAGTGACGGGCTGTTCGCGAGAAATAAAGAGGTTTATTTCTATTTCCAGTTGAAACCATATTTTTTTCTTATTTTCTCACTGTTTTTTATTGCATATTTATCCCCAGCCTCCTATCATTTCAGGTGCCAGGGCATTGTTTCATAGAGTGGAATGATTGACCTCAACACAAGTATTAAAAAAAAAGAAGCAAAACAGGTGAGATAAATGTGCATTTCATACACTTTTAAGAAGTAAATCCAACCTCATCCCCACTTCTGCTCACTAATAGTAATGGGCTGGAAATTTGGTACTGCACAGGCCTGTCTTCTCCCCTTGACATTTAACTGAATGACAGAATTCCACATTTTGACCATTTTCTGGATGTCAATGACCATTTCCCTGGATAGTATTCGCCCCAGAATTCTCATTCTCATCCAAATTTAACATTTCAGGTCTACATCTCAAAACCTGATCTCTTCCTGGACTGGCTTTAGGAGAACGATGATGCATATCAATTTCATCCCTGATCTCTATGACACCTGTGGTGGAAGTGGAGGGCAAATCGTAATCAGTTTGGGACCTCTGTAAACTTTGCTTTTTGGTGATGACTTAATTTCCGAGCTTGAAAAGGACGCTTGTGTGTTTATCATGGCCTCTCATATTGGAAGATAACATTAATGGCTTGTGTGTTGATCGACGGTTGTGCATATCTCTTGGTCAGGAAAGTTGTAGGCACCATCGCCATTGTAAATCATTTGACAGGCTCGAGTGAACGGGGCGACCTATGATTGGTCAGCAATGTATCAGATTCCATACCGGGGGGTGGGGATGAAAAAACTGTTGTAGTGTTACATAATCAGATTATTTCAACTTACTTATCCTGTGGAAATACAGCTATATAGGAGATATTTTGAAATTCATAGGCACTGCATGTTTCAACATTTTAGATTTGACCACAATTTGGCACTTAAAACTATGTTAACAGAGAAAAACTGTGTGGTTTTCGATGAAAGTGTTAAAAGTCTAATATTGCATCATGATTACTGTTTTAAAGTATTTTCGTGTTTGATTTATATTGAATTCATCTCATCTTTTTGAAGAATGCATTTATGTTCAAAAATAAAAATGTTCTGTGGAATTCAAAATTCATGTGCTTTTAAATTATCAGATTCCAAACTGGGGGGTAGGGATGAAAAAGCTGTTGTAGTGTTACATAATCAGATTATTTCAACTTACTTATCCTATGGAAATATATGGAAATACAGCTATATAGGAGATATTTTAAAATTCATAGGCACTGCATGTTTCAACATTTTAGATTTGACCACAATTTGGCACTTGAAACTACGTTAACAGAGAAAAACTGTGTGGTTTTCGATGAAAGTGTTAAAAAGTCTAATATTGCATCATGATTACTGTTTTAAAGTATTTTCGTGTTTGATTTATATTGAATTTATCTCATCTTTTTACAGAATGCATTTATGTTCAAAAATAAAAATGTTCTGTTTAATTCAAAATTCATGTGCTTTTAAATTTCTGTCTGAAATTCCGCAGTTTTCTGATGCATTATAGTGTTTGCAGAATGCCGCACAGCTCATCTGAAAATGCATAGATTTTCATATTCTTTGGTCAGGGAATTGCATATATGTTTGTTTATTAGATAACAACAGATTTGTTTAAACTGCAGAAACATGTGAGGTATATAGGACTAAGACTAGTAATTATTTCCCCTTATTTCATGATGGACGAATGTAGTGCGAGTTATAAATAGACAATTTTTCCCTTAATTTTTTTCTCCCCTCTTCCTGCATTTTTGGGTTGACTTTTTGGTCTAGAATTGGAGAAAAGGGATCAAATTTGCAATTTCATAGCAGTTTTGGGTAATACTGATGATATTACAGCGGAGGGATAGGGGGTGTAAAGTGTCTTTCTGCAGAGCAGTCATTGTGTCGGAAGTGAGATTTTCACCCCAGTCAACTTCAAATCCGTGTAGCAAAAAATCTAAATGGTCAACCCCCTACAAAATTATGATGAGGAGATTGCCAAATGTTGTCCCCATTGTGCCTATAAAGATTGGAACCAACGGAATGTTGAGAAAAAAGCTACAGCCTGTGATGTTACAGCCATTTAACATTGAAGTCAATGGGCAAATAATTGCTAGTCTGAGTCCTGATGAGGTAAAGAAACATGGCCGACTCGGGATGTTGATATTTTTTCAAGGGCTTATTTCCTGAAATTTTGAATGGAAAGTGTCAGAAATAGTAAGAATACTGCTTTTTTATTGCCCAGCAGTAAGTTTTTTGACTATTTGGTATCAAAATAGCCATGATTGGGGGTATCCGTTGGTTGAGTGTGAATTTTGGGTTGTAAATGTGTAACATTTTCTTCACAATGATATCAAAACATGGTTAGGTCTAAATATTAAGGCCAACTCAACTCCAGATTTGGTCTAAAGTCACGAGATGTAAACAAGGCTGACCCTAACCCTAACCCAAGACCCAGTCCTTACCCTAACCCTAACCCACAATCTTGTCAAGAAGCATGTAGCCTAGGCCTAAGCCAAGACCTAGTTCTGACCCTAGCCCAAACCCACAATTGTGTAAAAAAATCATGTGCCCTAACCCTATTTACATGTTGTGACCTTGAACCAAGTCTGCAGTTGGCCTTAACATTTAGACCTAACATGTTTTTGACATCATACAATGAAATGTTAACATGTACACTCCAAAATTCACACCTGTGTGACTTTTGACCAAACATGCAGTTGGCCTTAATATTTAGACCGAACCTCAAAACATGGCATCTACCTTTGAGATTGGCTTAGACTTATGTGACACTCAAGGTTTACTTTTTTACTGATTGTTAACTGGTTTCTTTTTGGAGGGCCAGTGACGGGCTGTTCGCGAGAAATAAAGAGGTTTATTTCTATTTCCAGTTGAAACCATATTTTTTTCTTATTTTCTCACTGTTTTTTATTGCATATTTATCCCCAGCCTCCTATCATTTCAGGTGCCAGGGCATTGTTTCATAGAGTGGAATGATTGACCTCAACACAAGTATTAAAAAAAAAGAAGCAAAACAGGTGAGATAAATGTGCATTTCATACACTTTTAAGAAGTAAATCCAACCTCATCCCCACTTCTGCTCACTAATAGTAATGGGCTGGAAATTTGGTACTGCACAGGCCTGTCTTCTCCCCTTGACATTTAACTGAATGACAGAATTCCACATTTTGACCATTTTCTGGATGTCAATGACCATTTCCCTGGATAGTATTCGCCCCAGAATTCTCATTCTCATCCAAATTTAACATTTCAGGTCTACATCTCAAAACCTGATCTCTTCCTGGACTGGCTTTAGGAGAACGATGATGCATATCAATTTCATCCCTGATCTCTATGACACCTGTGGTGGAAGTGGAGGGCAAATCGTAATCAGTTTGGGACCTCTGTAAACTTTGCTTTTTGGTGATGACTTAATTTCCGAGCTTGAAAAGGACGCTTGTGTGTTTATCATGGCCTCTCATATTGGAAGATAACATTAATGGCTTGTGTGTTGATCGACGGTTGTGCATATCTCTTGGTCAGGAAAGTTGTAGGCACCATCGCCATTGTAAATCATTTGACAGGCTCGAGTGAACGGGGCGACCTATGATTGGTCAGCAATGTATCAGATTCCATACCGGGGGGTGGGGATGAAAAAACTGTTGTAGTGTTACATAATCAGATTATTTCAACTTACTTATCCTGTGGAAATACAGCTATATAGGAGATATTTTGAAATTCATAGGCACTGCATGTTTCAACATTTTAGATTTGACCACAATTTGGCACTTAAAACTATGTTAACAGAGAAAAACTGTGTGGTTTTCGATGAAAGTGTTAAAAGTCTAATATTGCATCATGATTACTGTTTTAAAGTATTTTCGTGTTTGATTTATATTGAATTCATCTCATCTTTTTGAAGAATGCATTTATGTTCAAAAATAAAAATGTTCTGTGGAATTCAAAATTCATGTGCTTTTAAATTATCAGATTCCAAACTGGGGGGTAGGGATGAAAAAGCTGTTGTAGTGTTACATAATCAGATTATTTCAACTTACTTATCCTATGGAAATACAGCTATATAGGAGATATTTTAAAATTCATAGGCACTGCATGTTTCAACATTTTAGATTTGACCACAATTTGGCACTTGAAACTACGTTAACAGAGAAAAACTGTGTGGTTTTCGATGAAAGTGTTAAAAAGTCTAATATTGCATCATGATTACTGTTTTAAAGTATTTTCGTGTTTGATTTATATTGAATTTATCTCATCTTTTTACAGAATGCATTTATGTTCAAAAATAAAAATGTTCTGTTTAATTCAAAATTCATGTGCTTTTAAATTTCTGTCTGAAATTCCGCAGTTTTCTGATGCATTATAGTGTTTGCAGAATGCCGCACAGCTCATCTGAAAATGCATAGATTTTCATATTCTTTGGTCAGGGAATTGCATATATGTTTGTTTATTAGATAACAACAGATTTGTTTAAACTGCAGAAACATGTGAGGTATATAGGACTAAGACTAGTAATTATTTCCCCTTATTTCATGATGGACGAATGTAGTGCGAGTTATAAATAGACAATTTTTCCCTTAATTTTTTTCTCCCCTCTTCCTGCATTTTTGGGTTGACTTTTTGGTCTAGAATTGGAGAAAAGGGATCAAATTTGCAATTTCATAGCAGTTTTGGGTAATACTGATGATATTACAGCGGAGGGATAGGGGGTGTAAAGTGTCTTTCTGCAGAGCAGTCATTGTGTCGGAAGTGAGATTTTCACCCCAGTCAACTTCAAATCCGTGTAGCAAAAAATCTAAATGGTCAACCCCCTACAAAATTATGATGAGGAGATTGCCAAATGTTGTCCCCATTGTGCCTATAAAGATTGGAACCAACGGAATGTTGAGAAAAAAGCTACAGCCTGTGATGTTACAGCCATTTAACATTGAAGTCAATGGGCAAATAATTGCTAGTCTGAGTCCTGATGAGGTAAAGAAACATGGCCGACTCGGGATGTTGATATTTTTTCAAGGGCTTATTTCCTGAAATTTTGAATGGAAAGTGTCAGAAATAGTAAGAATACTGCTTTTTTATTGCCCAGCAGTAAGTTTTTTGACTATTTGGTATCAAAATAGCCATGATTGGGGGTATCCGTTGGTTGAGTGTGAATTTTGGGTTGTAAATGTGTAACATTTTCTTCACAATGATATCAAAACATGGTTAGGTCTAAATATTAAGGCCAACTCAACTCCAGATTTGGTCTAAAGTCACGAGATGTAAACAAGGCTGACCCTAACCCTAACCCAAGACCCAGTCCTTACCCTAACCCTAACCCACAATCTTGTCAAGAAGCATGTAGCCTAGGCCTAAGCCAAGACCTAGTTCTGACCCTAGCCCAAACCCACAATTGTGTAAAAAAATCATGTGCCCTAACCCTATTTACATGTTGTGACCTTGAACCAAGTCTGCAGTTGGCCTTAACATTTAGACCTAACATGTTTTTGACATCATACAATGAAATGTTAACATGTACACTCCAAAATTCACACCTGTGTGACTTTTGACCAAACATGCAGTTGGCCTTAATATTTAGACCGAACCTCAAAACATGGCATCTACCTTTGAGATTGGCTTAGACTTATGTGACACTCAAGGTTTACTTTTTTACTGATTGTTAACTGGTTTCTTTTTGGAGGGCCAGTGACGGGCTGTTCGCGAGAAATAAAGAGGTTTATTTCTATTTCCAGTTGAAACCATATTTTTTTCTTATTTTCTCACTGTTTTTTATTGCATATTTATCCCCAGCCTCCTATCATTTCAGGTGCCAGGGCATTGTTTCATAGAGTGGAATGATTGACCTCAACACAAGTATTAAAAAAAAAGAAGCAAAACAGGTGAGATAAATGTGCATTTCATACACTTTTAAGAAGTAAATCCAACCTCATCCCCACTTCTGCTCACTAATAGTAATGGGCTGGAAATTTGGTACTGCACAGGCCTGTCTTCTCCCCTTGACATTTAACTGAATGACAGAATTCCACATTTTGACCATTTTCTGGATGTCAATGACCATTTCCCTGGATAGTATTCGCCCCAGAATTCTCATTCTCATCCAAATTTAACATTTCAGGTCTACATCTCAAAACCTGATCTCTTCCTGGACTGGCTTTAGG